CGCATCCCGTGCGATGAGCAGCTGGACCATCGCCAGGTCGCCGTTGTAGGCGGCGAACACGAGGCTGGTGGCGCCCGACTCGGTGTGCCTGGCCTCAATGTCCGCGCCGCCGTCCAGCAGGGCCTCCACCACGGCAAGGAAGCCGCTCCGGACGGCCAGGAGCAGCGCCGTCTGGCCCTCCCTGCGGTACTCGAACTCCACGTCCGCGCCCGCACCTATCAGCACCTTCACGACTTTGTGGTGGTTCATCTCCGCCGCGATAATTAGGGGCGTCTTGCCTGCCCTGGACGGTATGTCCACGTCCGCGCCCGCCTCCAACAACTCCCTGACGATGTCTATGCGGCCGCGCTCAGAGGCCACGTACAGGGCCGTGGTCTGGTTTGTGGTCTGCGCGTCCACAGGGGCCCCTGCGTCGATCAGCTTGCGCACTATCTTGGTGTGCCCCCTCCGCGAGGCCAGAATGAGCGGTGTGGCGCCATCGACGGAATTTCTGGCAGAAGGGCTTGCCCCGTCGGCAAGGAGGTCCATGACATCTTGTGCAGTCCCTTCGGCCGCGGCGTCCAGCAGTTTCTGGCAGTGAAAAGGGGAACATTCTTTCGATTTCTCTTGCAAGCTAGGAAGCATGATCCGGAGACAAATCATGGAATAAGCGTCTGCACTAACAGCGCATGCAAAGCGAATGAATACCTCCACAATATATAGCACGGAATTGTGCTGCTTGCATGCCCACAGAGAAGTATGGATTGTGTTGCTCTTTGGAACCAATCCCGTAAGGAGGACTGCAGGAGAAAAGCATGTTGGCGTACCATGTCCAATCTGGTCAAATCCTCTTCGCTTCCACTGCTTTCTTTCTTCTCTTTCTTAGCTGCAGACCACACAAGAGTTTCCATTGATACCCATCGCCAAACAATACCAAGCATTTTCCGGACAATGCCCAGCGCTTTTCTCTACTAGAACAGAATCCGATGCACTTGTTTAGGATCTTGTTGCATTACTTGGTTTATTTTCCTTCACCACAAGTGGTCCACGACATTCCAATATGTAATGTCCACTCTTGTGATGTCGCCCACTACCCATGCACAGCCTCTCAACAAGGATCAAGCCCTCAGTGACCAAGACGCGCTCGCCTTTGGCCCGGCATCTGTGAGCGTTGCCCGATTACCTCCCTTGGCTCGTTGTATAACGCCATGGCCATTCGCAATGGAGGTGCGCCACGCCCCCACGGCCTCCCGACCAGACACAGGTCTGACGCATTCAGTTCCCCTGGGTCTGATGCAGCTGCAAACAGTGCCTTGCACGGTACCAATCGCCTAGCGTCTCCAGCTGTTTCCTCTGGACGGCCCACCCAAGTCTACCGGATCCCTCTTTCTGGCGCCGAGGCTCGCCTGCCTTCTTGTGCCATGCGTCCTGCATGGCCCAAAGCCAACGGGGATGGCCCACAACTGCGGCGCCAGCGGCGCTGATTCTCGCCCGCCTAAAGTCACTGCACGCGCCACTCAGTGTCCCCCTGGCCCCCACCTCCATTGGCGCTCTTCTTGTCTTTCTTGGCGGCCTCAGACGGGCGGGCCAACAGGCAGAGCGCCAGAAGCAGTGCCAGGCCCGCCAGGCGCCTCCACCGCAGACGCCCCGCCGCCCCGCCCCTGCCCATGCCCCGATCTCTGGCGGCCTCGCGTTCCGCCCTCGGAGCACGCCCGGCCCTTGTTGCTCGACCGCCCGGCATCCGACCTGTCCTGGACGCCGGCCTGCGGAGTTCGCAGACAGGCAATATCCTTGCACGACCGAAAAGGAAGACGAAATCAAACGACGACCGTTCCACGTCGGCGTCCCCGCCAACAGGAGGCTCCTCCACCCCCCGCGCCCGGCCTCGTCGCTCTCTTGCGGCGTTCCCAAGACCGGCGAGCAAAACCGCGCCCTCGGCGCGGATCGGCGGAGCGGCGGCCCCGGTGCAGTTCACCCTGAGCTAGGCCGGCGGCGGGCACCAGGCGGTGGCTAAATAAAGGGCCGGGCGTCCCCGTCCCCCCAGGGACCTGACACTGGGCGTCGCGCCCGGCCGGGCGCTGGGTGCCCAGTCCCGTCCCGCCCTGTTGGTGATGGGCGGGTCCGCTGTGGGGTGGGCATGAAGGGGATCCCCCAGCGGATGGTTGCGTGGGACGGGCCCATGAGATTTTCTGTACCGGAGGGCGGGAAGCTGCACACGCGTGGGCGCGAGCGGCGTCTGACTGGCTGACGGCATACGATAAATCCGACCCGACCTTCGGCATTTACATTGGCGGCGCTCGCATAATGGCCCGGTACGGTGGACGCGTGTACGGTCGCCAGCCAGGGGCGCGCGCAAACTCTCAAGTCGTTGGTGCCCAGCGTCGAGTGGCCAGCTGGGGGAGTTCCCGGTGGGGCGAGGACCGCCGCCTCACGTCCCGTCCCCAGAAACGGGTCCCCAAAGCCTTCCGCCAACATGCTGCATGGCGCAAGATCGCCGCAAGCAAGCCGCTGACAAGACACCGGCTGGACGGCCTGGCGAAGGGCCATGCGCTGAGGCCGGGCGTCACAACAGCGTGCAGTGTGCACGCGCCCCAGCGTAATGGACGTGGTAGCGGCTGGCTTGGCGGCGGGTGCTAGAGGCATCGCAGCAATCGCAGTGGCTCTGAGGGGCGCCAAGTGAGCCATTTCCGCGCCCCGCGTTTAGATCTCAGGGCGACCTGGCAGTGGGGCAAGGCCCCACAGCGCGCTCCCCGGGTCCGCACTCGGGTTGAGAGCAGAGTGCGGCAGCCAAGGCGAGGGCGCAGGTGGGCGGGAACGGAGTGTGCGTGAGGCGCCTGAAACCGTGTTCCCATGGGGAAGGCGCGACCTCGGGGGCCGCCACTACGCACTGAAAGGAAAACTGCGTGTCGCTGGTGCGCACGAGGCGGGGGCCACCGGGAAAGACGGGAGAAAAAGCAGGATCCCCAGGCCGCAGGGATGGAGCAAGACGGGTTGCGGGAATTTTGAAACCAAAGAGGCGGTTTCTGGCGCAAAAACCGCAGCAAAACAGAAGGTGGTCTCTGTTGAGGTTGCTCTCCGTGATGCCGCTATTGCTTCAGCCCCGCGCACTGGCCCGGGGTGGGCAGCGCGAAGATCATGTCCACCATCACCAAGCGGCACCCGATGCACCCCCCGTTTCTGAGATCGAATACGAAATCCCCATCCCTTCTGCGGCTTTTGCGCTGGTTTCCTGGCGAAAACCACCCCTGTTGTTCCCGCCAACCACCAGTTCCAAACGCGGCGGCGCCTGGTCGCCTCTAGGGCCGTCGATCGGCAGCTTGGCCACAGCCTGTCGGCTGCCTGTTCGCCACCCCGTCCCACCCCATCCTGCGATCTTCGGCCCCATGTGCGACGCGTCAGCAGAGAGCTCTGGGGACCCGTTTCTGGGGACGGAAGGTGAGGCGGCGGCCCTCGCCCCATTGGGAACTCCCCTGCTGGCCGCTCAACGTTGGGCACCAACGACTTGGGAGTTTGCGCGTGCGCCTGGCTGGCGACCGTACACGCGTCCACCGTACAGGGCCATTATGCGAGGGCCGCCAATGTAAATGCCGAAGGTCGGGTCGGATTTAACGTATGCCCTGGCTGACAGGCGGTCGCCTGGGTTGTCCATGCGACTGTCGATGTCGGCAAATCAGAATGGGTGCGGCGCGGCCGATATTTTGGGGCTTGTCGGTGGCCACGGCGCACGAGGCCATTTGGCCGTTCGGGGTTGGGGCCGAGGCATTTCTTTTGTCGTTTGTTATTTCTCCAATTAAAAATAAACTAATGTTTAATGGGCTTCTGTTTCGGGAGACGTGGGTGGGCTCTTGTGATGCAGCAGGCACTCTTTAAGTTATCAACATCCAGTTCTTCTTCCCCTGTGCCCTTTGGGCCCATTGGCCCTCAAGCTGCGTTTGAACACGCACCAAATCTGTGGACCCTTGGCGCGAGTTTCAAAGCCTGCAGAAGGGTGTTTTCTGATGGGCGGCTTGGAGGGCTCTGTCGGCTGGCGGACATCCGCTTTGGTCAAGGAGCTCCAAAACATCGTCAATTGTCTTGCTGTGCTCCCACCCACGCATTCCTTGGAGATTGAGTTCGGTGCTCATTGGTGAAACACTGGGATCAGTGCTGTCGGTATGGGTCGCCAACCTTGCAACTTGGCGACTGGAGTCACACTTTCCTGCACGGCGTTGGCAAGCGTTTTCTGGCGCCGTGCGCAACAGCCTTGAAAATGCGAAATCTAAGATCTCGCCAATTTGTGGATGAGCCCCTGACTGTACGTGCACGCATCGCATCCCATCAGGCGTGTGTGCATGTGCATCCAATGTGCTGTAGCGATGTACCACTTGGCTACCTGCCCTGCATGTTGAGCTAGAAAGGTGTGGCAAGCCAGATTTGGCCAGCAGACATTTCACAGAATCCGCTGCAGCTCAGATTTCGCCATTGGTGGTGGTAGCGCAAAGGAGACGGGATCTTGCTCTTGTACTCGACAAAGGCCCTTTGTGCCCTGTCAGGAGATGAGTCAGGATAGGGGTGTGAATCAGGAGTTTGTCAGGAGAGGCGCACGGCCACCAAAAGCTCGCCACATATTCATCAGTTGCGCAACTGTTTCATGCGGGTCAGCGACAGGCAAGGCAGCCGAAATAGTTTTACTGCCTGCACCAAATCGGTGACTGCTTGCACCAAAACACGTGCCCACTGTGTCCTAACCTCAATTTTAGAGTTAGGTTTGGGTTGAATGTGAGTTTTAGGGTTAGGGTTACAGTTAGGGTAGGTTTAGGGTCAGGTATAGGGTTTGTTTTTTTAGGTTAGGGTTTGAGGTTAGGTTAGTTTTAGGGAGATCTGGTGCAGGCAGCCAGTGATTTGGTGCAGAAAGTCACCGATTTGGTTCAGCCAGTACTTGCGTGCCCAAGCAACCGACATTTGGCAACCGCGCGGGTGGCAGAAAAGTGTTGCGCCCGTGCCTGTGTGTCGCAGGCACACGGGCCAGGCCAGGAGCCCCGATGGAGGGGGACCAGCCTCGGCGCCAGCCGGAGTTGCCCGACGTCTACCCCCTTCGTCAGGTGACCGCGGATCGCCCGGAACCAGCCCGCCTCCCCACACGACGCTGTAGCAGCGCTCCTTGCGCCACGCAGACACGCGCCCGTCACTCCTTTCGCGACACGGCCCCGCGAGAAAACTTGCGAACAGGCGTTTGGTCGAAAGGGGATGCTTGGCCCTTGGACTGCACCCGGGTGGGTGGCTGTGGGGTGGTAATGTCGGCGGTGGCGGTTGTCCAGGGGTGCCCAGAGGACACCCTGACGCCCGGCACGCTGAAGCACGGGTACCAGGAGAGCGCCGAAGCTATCGGTGTGCCGGAGACCAAGGAGGCGGCGCTGAGCCTGGCGGCGGATACCAAGCTCTGGGGCAGATGGAAGAGCGACGGGCACAGGAAGGTGGGGACGCGGGGGCGCTGGGAAGGTGGGCGCGGACGGGGCGCTATTCCCACGGCCACGTAGAAAGCCGTTCCTGTGGCCACATGGGAAGGTGGGGGCGTGGGTGCATTAGGAAGGTGGGCACGCGCTGGAGGCCATTCCTATGGCCACGCAGGAAGCCAATCCTATGGCCATATAGAAAGGTGGGAGCGGGGAGCGTGACTCGTGGCAGGCGGGAGTGCTTTTTGTGTGGATTTCGCTGCTTGCGTTTGTTAAGCACACAGGGCTAGGCGATGCCATTGCGGCTGGAGAGGCGATGGCGGAGAGCGTTTGTTGCGATTGCAGTAGATCGTGTCCACTGCGGGAGGTGTGGATGGGATGCTGGACGCGGGAGATTGTCTCTGTCGAGTTGTTGGGTTGGACACAGAGGTCGGAACCTGCCGAGCCCGGTCCGAAGATATCGTTTGGACGGTGAATGAATGGTTGGGTGGGCATGTGAAGTGTGGACGCATGATTGGGTTCGAACGGGAAGGGAGTCTGTCGCCTGGTGGACACTGCAACCTGTGAGACTGTTTGCCGCACTGATTTTGTGGGTATGAATTGGGGGTTATGAATCCAACAGAAAAAGGTCAGCGCTGGGTAGCAGGATTGTGGGCGTGGCCCTGGGATTCGGACTGTTGCTACACACAGCCAGTGATGACCCAGTGGCTGTTTTGGCGATCACCCATGACTGCACATTTGGAATTGGTCAATGTCATCTACTCGAGGTCCTTGCATGGGCAGGGTCGATGGCCCATCCGCCCAATGCCATTGGCCAAGGTAAAAAGTGGTGGTGTTGTTGACCTCCAGCACAGCAGCAGGAGGGAGGGCAGGGTGAAAAGAGGTGGGCTGGCTTGGCATTGGGTGGACAGGATGGTTTGTGGGGGAATATTGGGCTCAACAGTGCTTGTTTTGGAGACCACTGCTGCCTTGGATTTTTGTGTGGAATCTGTTAAAGTTATGATAGAGGTGGATTGAAGTGTGCTGCCCTTGCAGACCCTGTGGAACTCCCTGCGAGCTGTCCAGGAGAAATCTGCCAGTAAAGACAAGGTAAGTGGATTTTGGGGGCAGGGTTTTGTAAGCCATGAAAATGGGACATGCATGGAGCTCCTGAAGAATGGGTACCTGGCTCTCTTCCATCTGAACGTGGAACATTGCTTGGAATTCGTCAGAGCCAATGAAAATGGTGGACAATTGTGGCACTAATGGGGAGGTGTTCAAATGCTGCGGGCTGAGCTGTTGGATGGGGATTGAACGCCTACTGTACTCCTTTGCTGAGTTGCCGAAATCGCACCTTCAGCTCTGTTGCATACACTGCATCTCTTCTCAAACCCGTTGTGGCGACAAACAGCTGACAGCTAGAGTTTTTTCATTGGAGTTTTGTAGCATGGAGCTCAATCCATGGGAAGCATTACATGCACATTCGCATTCTACAGCCATCCTGCCCTTTTCTGCAGCTGTGCTCTGGATGCGATGGGGCCAACTGCTGCTTTCTGGTCCAGTGGAGTGCCAGATGTTTGCTGAAGCTCTGGTGTGCGTCATATGTCAAATTGGACCTGTTGTGCTGTGCATCGCTCTTGGAGAAAATACACAACCATCGTTGACCAATCAAAATAGGCACCAAAGTGTGACAGTCCACCTGTGCATGCCACGAATTGTGCAGACAACCTGTCAAGGTCTGAAGTATGTATCGCCATGTAAGTAACGCCATACATAGTATGGTGGCCTGTATTTCATTCCGCAGCTGAACAGTGGTTCTGTCGATATTCCTCATCATGCCTTGGAACTGCTTGTGCGCTGTTCGTTGAAAATTGACTGGATTTGTTGATAGCGCTCCCATCGTTTGCGCACTTGCATACAGTAGTTAGGGGTTAGAGTTTAGGGTACGCAAACTACAAGGCCACCTGATACGACAATAATTTCAGCAATAGGACTGCCAATTGAATAGTTCATTTTACACACTGCTGTGAGCAGGCACTGGGGCAAATGTGTCGCTTGTCTAGCATTGATTCATTGCAAGGAGCTGCATCTTTGCTAAGTGTTGTGCTCATCATGTATCATGCATTTCAGGCAGGAAAGCAGTATGGTGTACCACTCAGTGGTGCCTCCATCAGCAAAGATGTCTCTCTTCCTCAGGAGCGGCCTGTGGAGGGAGAACACAATTCCACATGGCTACTCAACCTCTCAAACCCACTCCATGCCTGGGGGCCAGACAGTGCCATTCTGGTGCCCAATGGCAGGTATGCAAATCTCAATCACAATGCTGCAGGGACAATGACCGTGGGTCGTTGAGCATTACGAACCAAAATGTTCAATTCCAACGCAGACTGCGGTTGTGCTACAGAGCCAGTGAAACATTGAAGACCAGCAGGAACTGTGCAGATGAGCTGCTGCTGGAGCTTCTGTCATCGCCTGTTTGCTGTTCGCTGCTTGTTGTTTCTGACACAGACTTCTATTCCTCAGGCCTCAGTCGCTCATTGCTTCACTGGCTGCAAATCAGGTCGCATTACCACAGGCGTCTTCTCTCTTGCAGGTGACCTACCCCACAGCACTATTTTATGGGATCTTTGTGGAATGTTTTCAACATAAGTCCAAATATCACCATTCTTGCATATACACATCAAATGAACAGTGTGTTTTTGCTATATTGTGCCTAGTTTCGGCATTCCTTCAAGGTGTATATATTCTTTGACAGCCCATTTTCTTGTGTGTCTCTAGCCCCTTTCTTCAATAGGCAGCTAACTACTAATTTAGCTGATGATGGATTGATGCATGCATTCAGGTAACGTACCTCAGCCAGGCTGAGGGGGCGGTGTCACCCGTGGACCACAGGCAGTGTTCAAGCCTCCTCACAAAGGACCTCACCCAGATGCTTGGCGACCTCCTGCCACAATGCATGCAGGATGTGAAGGCTGTGGCGGCAACTGCAGGAACGCCAGTGAAGACAGACGACCTGCGGCCATCCACCCCCCAGTCTGCAAGTTCCCCAGCCAGTGCTGCTGGCCCCAAGGGCGCAGCAGCGTTGCAGGCTGGCAGCCCTGAGGGAAGCAGCTTGGATGCCAGCAGGGGCACGCGAGAGGGGCCCCCAGGCGCTGAGTGTTTTGGATTTCAGCTTGTGGGTGACACAGGCCAGCGACTGGAGTATCTCATCCGATTGACTGGCTGGCTCACCCGGGAGGGGCTGGTTGATGTGGGCAGCCTGGCAGATTGGGTGCTCGATGAGCTCCAGGGAGAGGACCTGCCCGTGCATGGGTGGGCTGTGCTGATTCCCCTTCTGGAGGCATGTCTTCCGGTGCGTTCACCAAATGTTTTGTGCCAGCTGTATTTTGTTGGCAATGAAGTTGGGGTGATAGCCGTTCGCCTCAACACAGCCCATGCTTGTGATAGTTCGTGTCGTCTGCATACAGCACTCAAGTCCTGTCCATCGCCCTAAGGCCCACTGTCTTGGATTGTCGTACCACTAATTGGTTCGGCATCACCACCTGACTGGGACAGCAAATTCGCTGAGCACAGGATCACTGGCTGGGCTGCCAAAGTTTGCACCATGTTTGCCAGACCTTAGTTCTCAGCACTTGCCGTGTTTGCACAGAAGCGAGCTGGGTCCACAGGAGTGCATCGTTCAAACCTGATTCTCAGCCATTATCACTCGTTTCTTGTGGCCTGGTCCCCACTTGTGCGGAACCAGCCGTGCAACTTGGTCATCCACAAACCAAACAAAGCGCTTCAACCATTTTCGTTCCCAACATTACCTGCAGTAGAGACCGTCAGCAGTAGATTGCGACAGAATCACACTTTCGCATGGGCGGTGCATCTATTGAGGAGCTGTGAACCAAAATTGGAAAAAGACATCAGGCTGTCTTATATGCAAGCGCCTGGAACTCGTTTTACAGTTTCCCTTGCAAGCCAAAAGCAGGAAGATGAAATTCACGAGTTCAGAACGGTCTCAAATAGCATGAAACATTGTCAGCCAGGGAGCAATGTGCATACCCAGGAGCAATGATTGTATCCCATAAACTGTTCTTTCTTCCCATGTGTCTGTGCCCCACTGACAATGCAAAGTATCCTGAAGCACTGCCCTATGGCCAACAGGAACAGATGCATTTTGGTCCAGCTCCTTCCTTGAAATTTGTCAACAGAATTCGCAGTTGCCTGATAGGCACATGCACAGGGATTTTCCTGTACTTTGATGGATTTGACTGAACGACATTTGCAGAAATCGAACTGGGGATGCATGTGCTCTGTCAGGATGCTGCCATGTGCCAGGATCGCACCAAGAGGATGGTTTCGTTTGGTTTGAGCTGTGCATCTCAGCTGCAAGAGCAGGAGCAGAGGGAGGGCAGCGAATGGCAAGCACAGCGGCTGGGGCGCTTGAAGGGCAGCGTTTCTGCCATCATGCAGCGACTGGTGGAGACAAATCCAGGGGCACTGGTGGGCCTTGACACGGTCCAGCAGCTTACTGAATTGAAAGAGAAGTGTAACATCGACATCAGCGAACTGCAGGCCTGCCAGGCCAAACTGACGCAAGCGGTCGGTCTGAGGTGTGTTGAGTCGAGGTCACAGTGGCTGGATCAGTGTGGGGCAGGGGCAATTTCAGCTTCCTTAGCTTTCCTTGGAGGCCCTGAGCCTCAGACACATGTCCTGTAGAGCAGGATTGCGTGGACCACCGGCTTGTCGGGGTGGCCATTTGTCAGAAGCGCACATGGCTGTATGTGGCTACTGTTTTGAGTTGTCTGCACCATCTTTCACAGTGTGGAAGAGAACCACAGTTCAGGATTCGTTCATTGCAATTTGCACTCACGATGACATGGGCTTGCACTGTAGACGCTTGTCAAATTGGCATTGTCTGAGTATCTGAGTTCAGTGGAGGTAAACACCGTGGAAGATGTGGTTTTGTCGCAGTGGCTGTTATGGCACAATTATTCAGTCATCTTGGGATCTTCCCCAATATGGAGATGACTGCTGTATGGCATGTTCCCTTCAGATTGATGAATTTGATGCCTGATATTGATTAGCCTGCTTCAGTTTGATGAATTGGACGCCTGATATTGATTAGCCTGATTATCCAGGCAACAATCGGTTCGATTTCCGCTAATTTCTGGTAATGGTCAGCTGGCATGCAGCCTTCCAGTGCCTTTTGCAGAGGCTTGGACTGCCGGTCAGTATGTGCTTGAGTGGGAGCTCACATCACATGATGCGAAGGGTTTGCTTCTGTGGCTCGTCAGTGTAAGTTCATGGACTGCATATGTGAATTACAATGCACAGGCCTTGCACCTGCGCAGCTGATGTGGGATACATGTCTGCATATAGGATTTTCCTGAATGCATTTGCCTTGACCCAAATAAATGCTCAATTCAAAAGCGACTGAGCTCTGCTTCCTATGCTGCAGTGTTCTGTGCTTGAATGTAACGGATGTGATGAAGCAGCTGGAGATGTGCCTGCAGAGTGGAGATGCTGTGGAAGGGGTCCGCACTTTGAGAGCTGGTGTGTTGTCTTTTGTGTTTGTCCTTGGTCAGCATTGACTCAATTTTCGCACCCCAACCAGTTAATTGTTGCCATGTGTCAGTCAGTGCTCAGCACATCGCACAACGTAGTTAAAGTCAGTGCTTTCTGGATTCTCCCAAGTGCATTTCTTAACCTGTGCGTACAGCAGCAGAAGTTTGTGATCATCTCCACAACGTTGAAACCTCAGACTTCCCCACACTGCAGATATTTGATTTGTAATCCCTACAGAATTTGGTTTGTGAATTATTGGCCCTGAATTAGTGGTCTGGTGTTCCCTTTTGGGCTTGTGTGTGGAAAGTAACTTTATGCCATGTTGTTGATCATACTGCACGGAATGTCACCACTACAAGCTGTTATGCCTCCATCGCTTGTTAGTAATCTCCAAATGTGCGCATATAGTTTAACCTATAATCTGAAATATCTAGTAGCCAAATCTCTATGTGAAATGTTCTTGCAACCTTGCCTCTATCCTGCAGGGGACCAGCACTGTCAATCCAAACAAGATGTTGTGTGCTTGTTTGGCAGCAGCACAAGACGACTGCACAGCTGTCCAGCTGTTGTGCGACTGGTGTGTGTCCGACCCATGTGGTAATGTGTGTATTCCTCCAACCGCTGCCAGCGATGATTTGCACTGCCTGTTGGCACCTTCGCTGGGGTCCGACCGAAGATTGTTTACACTCAGGCTCCTGAAGCACTTGTGCCAGGAGAAAGAATCAGGTGCTGATGGGCACAGTGCTGGTTCTGGGAGTTTAGGGGCCCCAGGGTCCAAATACACAGGCTCTGGGTTTCCTCTGCAGGACCATCTGCATGCGTGGCTTAACTACAGAACCTGCCATGAGGGCGGGTCGAGGTACAAGACCATGGCCGTTGAGCAGGAGCAGAAAGAGATGGCAGGAGTGTTTACATTGCTTGTGGCAATTGTCGACTGTGGCCTGTTTTCTGCCAAGGAGTATGTAAGGCGGCTGGTGGCTGATGGGGCCTTGGACTCGATTGACAAAAGTCCACAAGGTGGGGTGGAAGCTGAATGGCCTTGTTCCTCTCGGGTAGAGCAACACTGAAGCCACGCTGCCCAGCACATTTGTTTGTGTCATAGTGCTTGAAGAAGTGCATGAGGAAGAAGTGCATTTGGCACATAGACGTCTGCTCTTTCGACTTGCACAGGTCTAAATTGGCAGTTGGGGTTTGGGAGTGGCTGCTGTTGCTGCTGCTCAGATGACATGAAGGTTCCATGCTAGTTACTATTATGTCTCCATTCCTGTCTGGTGGCTCCCCTCCCCTGAATAGGTCCAGTGGTGTCATCTGAACCCCGATGAAGAGGTGGGAGGGGATTGCTAAATCTTCACAGAAGGTCCGCTCATTTGCTTGTATCCATGTGAAATGGTGACAAAGAAGGCAGCATACTCTGTTCAACTGTTTTTCGATGCATCAAGTACCCTCTGAAACACTGAGTGTCACAGTTCTGAATGTCGTCAGATATCTCACAAGCGTGCCCCCTCTGCCTTGCTTGTTCAGAACACATTATTGGTGCTTTCCACGGGCAGTGCATCCGCGAGCTCCAACCTCAGTTGCGGCAGCTGCGCTGCCCTGTGCCACCATGCACATACCCCCCACCGCCGGCAGGTGATGCTGATCATGCCGAGCTAAGTGAGGACCTCAGTGGGTGCGATGAACCCGATGGCCTCCACCCAAAAAAGCGCCAAAGGATTGCAAGCCCAGGGGATGCTGCCACTCCTTGTTGCGCCGAAGCTGGGGTTCACAACGGCGATCTATCAGCGGATGGAGTGGATTCAGATTCCCTGCAAGCTGATGTGCTCCAGTTTCTGGATCATTCTGCCAGCGGGGCAGATCAGCAGGCTAGGCAGTCTGGAGAAAGCACGGGGAGGGCGGTTTTGGCCAGGATTCGAGATTTGGGCCCTGGTGCCCGATGGGACCTGGCCCGTTGGGTTTGCTCCCTTCTCAAAGATCAGGAGGTGCTTACTGAGGTGGGGACCATCGCCCCACGACTGTGGCTTGAACAGGTTTGCGATGCTCCTGGGCGCTGGCCCTTGACATCTGACCCTGGGATCAATGTCTCCAGCAAAGATTTGTGGGCGCTGGACAAGATGGCCCTCCTCAGATATTTGGCTGTGCTAGACTGCTGCGATTGCGAGGCCACATCCTGCTTGTTGCTGCTGCTGGCTGAGGCTGCATATATTCAGATCCAATTGGGTAGTGCCGGGCGTTCTGGTGCAGATGGGTGGCATCTGCCATCCATGTCATCTGGAGAGTGGGTGGTGGCATCAGCACTGTCTGCAAGGAAACGAAGGTGGGCACACCCATCCTTCCAATCTGCAGATTGGATGCACACCTTGGCACTGTGCCATACTGTTAATGCAGCTTTGTCTGCAGCCGTCATCTGTATGGAGGGGTGTGCAGACGCCTACCATGCAGGCCATTATATCACATTGGCAAGCTCAACTATGACTCATGTTTGCGATAAAATCAGACAACACTTTGTCATGCGATGGTGTGCTCATACGTGTACATCTTGTTCTGATCTGGTGAATAGGCAAGACAGCTTTGTGGTTCTGCTTTCATGGACATGCTTACTGCCTTGCGTAGAAAGAAGGGGATGCATGCAGCACTGTGTTGTGACATGCACTGGGGAAGGTCCCTTGTTGCTGAAGTGTGAACTTGTGCTTATGAGCACTTACGTTTCATTGGAGTTGAAGTTGAATGAAAGTGCAGCCACGTTGCAGTCCATTCAAGGTCCTGCTGGTTGATAACTCAATTGTCACATCGCACCAGCAGGTTTCCCATTGGCCAGCAGTCTGGTGCATTCCTCTTGCTGTCTGTGCGATGAGTCTTCACACCCATCAGCATTTCTTTCCAGTTTTCAATTGGAAGATGGCAACATTCTCTTATCTTCTATGTCACAAAGCTCACAACACGACTTTGGTGAAAGTTCTGCAGGCTGTCAGCGATGGGTCTCCTGGAGGGTGCCCTCCAGCTGTGCACCTCATGGGCCTTTGGCCTCGAAGGCCGGCCACCCCGCTGCCTCAGCCTCCACCCCGCCCTGTACTTATCCAAGGAACTCCTGACTCTCTCCCCAGAAGCGATTGCTGCCAAAACCTGGTGGAGCCGCGCACAGCAGGAACATGCACATGACCACTGGTTGATCGAGGAGTTGCATGCACACACAAAGCTGACAAGCAAACTCCCAGGTTCGCTTGCTGGAAAAGGCAACAGCTCGAAGGTGCAGGCCCCGCGCCCGGTTGATGTTGGCGGTGCTGTGGAGAGTGGTAGGCTTGCAGCTTGGTCAGTCGCTGATGGGCTGGGTGGGATTTCTGAGGCACTGCGAGAGGAAACAAGGGGAGGGGACGGGGTTTGCGGACCTACAGTGGATTGTGAAGGGGGGAGAGTTCAACAAATACAGGCGATGGCAAAGTGGTGCAAGCCAGGTGAGGCATTGGCGCTGTGTTGCTTGCGGGCTGGCTGAGCATTGCTAAATCATTAAAATAGGGTGAAAAATGGGGTGATTTGAACATTGAGTGAATGCTGTGGCAGGATGTGCAGTTTGTGGTATTGTTGTTGTCGAAGTATATGATAATTTCAGTGTCGTTTCATCGTCGACCTCCGATTTGCAGAATGCCAACGAACAGCTGTAGGCCTTGTGTACTTGGATTCTCATTGTGCGCCATTCTGTCAGGCTTCCCGTCCAATTTCACATCTTATGTGTTCCTTTGTCGTGCCTTGCAAATAGCCCCTGTGTTGAGCAGAATGCGAAACAGCATTGCACATTTGGCCCTGAACTAGATGCACTAATAGACACTGCCTATTTGTACTTTTGAGCAGGCTCCTCGCTTGCTGAACAGTCTCAGCGAACTTGCCAAGCCATTGCTGCCTTGCTGCAAGTCTCCGAAGAGAAAGACTGCCAGGGCGGGTTTGCTAGACTGGACACCTGCCAGTCACTTGCACTGCTGAATGTCTTGTTGATGGAAGGCGATGAGGACGAGTCAAACACACTCTCAGTGTGGCACTGCCTTGTGGCCATGTGCAGCGCCAGCAGCGATGCAAATCTGGGGAAAGTTGAGGTCAGCAGACTGCCGGAACTCAGCGAGGACCGTGTTCACAGTTTAAGACTATGACCGGCAGATGAGCTG